CGGGAGAAAACCCGAATAACCAAAGATCCACATACATACATACATACATACATACATACATACATATATAATTAAGGATATCCTACCTGTGTGTGTGTGTATGTGTGGTGGGTGGGTGTGTATTATATAAAGACCACTTAGCTGAGTCAAGAGTTATTACAAAGGGATACCTTTTTCTGTCCCAACAATCCCGCTGCAAATTAGTTTTTTGTTGCTAAGGAAAATAGAGAAGTGACATGCAGCAATTGTCTGATAGGAATGTGAAAGTATTCAGACTTTGTCCAGTTAAAACTTCTCTTATGGCGTCGCTACCTAAGCAATGCCAAGGGGGGCATTTTATGTGGTTTAAAACCATATATGACTGCAGCTTGCTTACCAGGACACCAGTTTTACAGTGAGTGTACATTTGTGTATGTATGTTAAAATGTAAAACTACTGTTACTGTAGTTTTAGTTTTAGAAAGGTTGATAAAAATATTTCAAATCATTTTGCAATATTACGTGACGTCAACGCCATTCAAGGTGTAGAAACAAAGCTTTGTCTTTATGGTTCCACCACATTGTGGCCATTTTTGTTTCCCTAAAGAACACCCAATCTAAACTTGATCAGCTTATTGAAAACTCTGACACTGGTGCTACTAATTGCCACCTCACAACATCTAACAGTGCAAGATCCTTTATCAGTCTGAAGGTATCGTTAGAGTACTTCAAAAGAACCAGAGCTCTGCTATCTTATCCTCCAATAGCTTGATTACTAGGAATCTTACACACCAAAAGCAGTATTAAATGCTTTTAAACCACAAAGACAAAGCTCTCCCAAAATGGTCTCTAGGGAGTGATTATCTTTCCTAAACCTCATTTGGAGAAGAAGTATAGTCTTCTTTTCTCAACCTAACAAGCTTGTTCTTAAGTAAAGGAATACTTTACAGCTCTGTGAGAATTGTGATGTGTTAGGAAAAAGACATTTTTGTTGTTGTTTCCCTACCTAGTTTTCTTATTTCTTGTTCTTCGTTGCACTTTGAACGCTTCCTGTGCTATTTCTCAACCACTTCTTTTCTTTCTGAAGTAATCTGTAATCTGTTTTAATTCTTGGCTTACCTCAGCTTTGGCTTCCTTTGTTGTGTAATTCTGTGAATGCAGCTTGTTCTGTGTACTGCAGTTTGGCATTTTTCACTGCTCCGTAGTTTTCTCCCCTTCTGCCAAAATCTCAACAATGTTGTCTGTTGATTTTAGCTTTAATCCATATCTGTGACTGTGCTAGAAAGAGAACTGATAGCGACAAACTCAGGAACACTCAATGACTATAGCGTCATCATTAAAAGGGCCCCAAACCATTTCTGATCTAGTGATTATCTAACTCAGGAGTCTCCAACATTGGCAACTTTAAGACTTGTGGACTTCAACCCCCTGAATTCCTAAGACAGCCATGCCAAGGTTGGTCACCCCTGGTCTAGTTTAAGGCCCAGAGATTAATTTTGGAAAGGACCAGACGCTGCTGTCCTTCCTCCACAATCCACACGTGCTGATTAGGATGCCAATACTGCACAGTACAAGCTGTTACTTGGCCTGGAAGCTTGTGAGCCTGGTGAACTACCACACTCCCCTCAGGGCTGAATATCAAGAGTTAGCACTGTAGCTTAATTGATTTAAAGCAAAGTACTGGGTTGGAGTCACATCTGGTTTTTTCTGAGCAGCAGCTCAAAAAGCTAAGTGGGGTCAGACCTCGTTAACAGTTGGATGGAAGATCACCAGAGAAATCCGAAGGCCAGAGACTAATTTGGACAATTGAACAACATCCCTGAAGAAAAGCAGTGTAACATTATTTCACATTGTCCCTGTAGGTTTATTGGCAACTATAGACACCAGGAGATGGCTCAAGGCATGCAAACCAAGACGACTTGGTTGTCAAGAGAATCAGTTCAATGCTGGTGTGCATTATGTAGGAGTTAAAACTGAGGAGTTCTCAGATCCTGCTTGAGCACAATGGACTGATCTTTTCGGATTTCCCCGTACACACATGAAGTCAGTAGCCCCTCTGTACCTACACGCTCTTCTGCACAGCTGAGCCTTCTTCGCCTTCCTTACTGTCGTACAGAAGCAGAGGCGTTTCTGGGCAAAGAGATTCAAGAGTCCAAGGTCTGAGTCACACATCAAGCCTGAGGCACTCTCAGTGCTATTGCTAGGACTGGACTAGGAATCTCTGCTGTCTCCTATGGATCACTTTATCTGAGTTCTCCTCCTCCTCCTCTTTGGATGGGTCCTCAGTCAGTTGAGGAAATGACAGCGTGTGGTATAGTCTTACTCCTGGGTGGCTTTCTAACCCTAACTGTTGTTATTTTCGTTTTGAAGCAATCGTAAATGACCTACTGACCAGCTTTTGCCTCAGCTCTCTCTACTGAATAAAAATAGAACAATTCAGAATCGGAATCAGAATAGAACTGGAAGGGACCTTGGAGGTCTTCTAGTCCAGCCCCTGCTCAAGCAGGAGATCCTATATACCGTTTCAGACAAGTGGCTGTCCAGTCTCTTCTTTAAACCTCCAGTCATGAAGCACCCACAATGTCTGATGGCAAGCTATTCCACTGGTTAAGTGTCCTCACTGTTCGGAAGTTCCTCCTTAATTCCAGGTTGCTTCTCTCCTGGATTAGTTTCCATCCATTGTTTCTTGTCCTGCCCTCTGGTGCTTTGGAAAATAAATTGACTCCCCTTTGCTTTGTGGCAGCCCCTCAAATACTGGAATGCCACGATCATGTCCCCCCAGTCCTTCTTGTCTCTAGACTAGCCAAACCCAAATCCTCCAACCATTCTTCATAAGTTTTAGTCTGCAGGCCTTTAATCATCTTAGTTGCTCTTATTTGCACTTTTTTCCAACATCTTTTTTGCAATGCGGTGACCAAAACCGGATTCTTCCAAAAGCATTGCAATTTAAAAAAAAAAATATGAAAAAAAAATAGTATGTTAATTGTAGTTTAAAATGTCACCGAAAATGGCTTCATTATTTTCCACTGGCAAGTTATAACCTAGCCTTCCCCATACTACAATTCTCATTTATTTATACATCACATTATAGCCTCTGACTTATGAAGTCTGTGCAGCGTGTCAGAATAGAAGGCAAAAAAAGATATTCTCTAGAACATATTGGGATATCAATGTAGCCAATGTCTATAACTTCTTAATTCAAACCAGTCTTATTTTGGGACTGCACAGCATTTGCCAAGAACAGCTGCCAGAAACCTAGGCCAAGCAGCAGCTGCTTTCAGGAATTAAGAGCACTCTTATTTGCTCAAAGGCACTTCTGTTGCCTTTGAATATGGAATCTTTTACTGTCATATAATATTCCAAGAGAAGGTGAACACTTCCCTTGCATCTTTCGGGGAAGGGGAAAAATTTTGGCTTAAGGAACATAGTAGTGATATTGGTGATGTAGCAATTGTACTAAAAATGGAAAGTTTGAAATTGCCTATCCAATGTATGTATGTATGTATGTATGTATGTATGTATGTATGTATGTATGTATGTATTTATTTATTTTGAGGAACACAAATGAGATTAGGAGTTGTTACTTGTTACTCATATTATGAGTAGATACATATGGTACTCTCTAGCAGAGGCATTCTGGCAGAGAATGGGAGAGTACTCTAAATTTGATGCTCAGCCAATCTCACTGTACACATGCTGTACTCTGACAATTAAAGGTTTGAATTGAATTATATCCATCTGCTGCCCAAAGCCACAGGCTTGATAGTGGGACAGTCCTCACCATTAAGAAAGGAGCGAGGACATTTCAGGAGTAGATTTTAAAAAGTCAGGATGGAAGACTTATAATTGCATGTCAAAGCCCCGATTCTTTTGTGTGTGGGGTGGTGGGGGAGGAGCACATGTATGACACATATAGAAAAGGCCTTTGATGATCCTATGGCTGCAATTGACATGTTGTCTTTTTTTGACCCTCCTCTTCAAGCATTCCTGAAAGTAGGGCAGTGGGGAGCGGCTTGGACTCAGCTTTGCACCCCAGAGTTGATGGGCATTCTTTTCTGCCTATGATCAGATGACAGGTTGTAGCTTGGGAAGCCACTCCAAGCTCTCAGCAAAAGGGTTTTTCTGGCCATTCATTGCCAGAGAGCTGAAATCTTGCCAGGATGTTGGATCTGTTGAAAGAAGTCTATAAAGAGAAGCCAAAGAGATGCGACACAGCTAGGTGTGTGTGTGTGTGTGTGTGTGTGTGGTGTGTGTGTGTAGGTGGGGAGCATTGAGTTCCCAAGCAGGTTGGAAAGGGTGCTTCATCTGAAGCTCTTTCCTGTTCATTCCACCCCCCATCCACCTCCGCTCTTCTCCAAATAGGAATAAATTATTTATTTTGAACAAGCAGGATAAAAATGAGCATAAATTCACTGGGAACCAGGCCGTACATTGCAGGGGTTGGCAGAGAATTCTATGGTGAGTCACAGTTCCGTTTGGGAGGAAATTGGAAGAAAATCTGAGCATGTATCAAATTCGCAATCCAGAAAAGAGAACTCATAATTATCCCAGTTGATAAATTTCTTATATGCAGTTAATATTTTTTTAAATGCTTGTGGGGATTTAAAAATATTAAATAAAAAGCCTGGAAAAGAAAAAAGAAAAGAAGACCCCAGTTTCAGTCGGAAAGAGTATGTTCCTTCTAATCTTTCCATGAGTCTTGAGAAAAAAAAAAAAAAAAAAAGAGGCATCCAGTATGAACATCCCAGCCAGGCCTGTCCAAGCCACCATGGTCTTTATTGCTGTTATTTTCATTACTTTTCGTGAGCAATTCCCCTGCAATTGTCTTTCTACGGCTTCTTTGTGTATCATACTGAAATATTTTCAACCAGATAATTCTTGTAAGTAATCAACCACGTGATTTTGCCCCTTCTTTCTTGCCAGGTCTAGCGGGCTGCGGCCCCATCTGTCCAGATGATCCAAGTGAGCCCCCCAGTGGTGTAGGAGCTTCAAAGTGTCCAGGAATCCCTCCTGGGCCACGTCATGGGCTGGCGTCGCACCTGTGGAGGGATCCGGCCGGTTAGGATCAGCTCCTCTCCGTAGCAGCAGCTCTGCCATTTTGGAGCTTCCCACCATCATAACCTGAAAGACAGACAAAGTAAGAAAGCTGAGTTTTGACCTGGGCAGCTTTTCATGCTTGTCCTCTATAAACTTCAGCTCCCTTTTTGGCAGCAGCCAACCGTAATCTGGTCTGTAAGACCTTCGTCTTAACAGGAGCCGCTTTGATTTCAAGTTTTTATTTTTATTTTTGTAACCTCCTTCCATCTTCACACATGCATATTAGTCCCCAAAGCATAATCCTAGCCTTTAAAACAGAATGAATCTGGAGCTATACCTTTGGTCTTCAAACTTGCAATGGGATAGGAATGGAGTAAAAGATTGAAAAGGGAGAAAGTGATGATATTATTTTGGTTGAAAGAAGCATCTCAGATAGCAAGCCTTTGGATGGGGTGTCAGACCATTCTGAACACTTGCAGATGGTCCCTGAAATTAAATTAATCACAGGAAGCTGAGGTCCCATGTCTACTAACAGTTACAGCACCAGCATAATGCTGTGTTAACCCCCATCTTTTCTTTTGATCTCATTTCCAGCACGGGTCGTTTTGCACACCAGAACTTTTCTCCAGTGAAATAGGAAAACACGATTGGATTGCCTTGTGGTTAACCAATTTCAGTTTTGCCTTTTTACATAACAGCTATTTGCACAGTCATAGAGTGATTTGTTGGGCTTTTTAATGCTCTGAGGGCGGGGGAAAAAAACCCCTAGGGCGGGTTTAATGGTGCCTGTTTTATTCATAATTGCACATTTGTGGTAGAGTTCATCTTTCCAATCTTTCTGAATTTCAGAATGTCACCCAAAATGGAATAATGTTGGATGAAAAATTGACAATCTGCTTTGATGAGTCCATGGGGAGGTCTTCAAATTGCCCAAGGAATCCACACCACATATGTTCCAGCATTCCTGAATGAAATGCATTTCCCCATTGGCTAATGATGTGCTAATGGGACAACTAAATCAGAAGAGAAAACCAATCAGCATATCTATAACATCTGAAGACCTGCAAATCTGGTTTACGTCAGAGGTAAGACAGATTAGTGATGTTGACCCAAGGATTAGTTAATGTCTTATATGGTTAGTGGGAAACTGACATGAAAAAAGGCCAATAATGAATCTGGAACCACATTTCTTCTATCCATTGCTACTGAAGAAAACCAGGGCGCCTAGCTTTGATACTAAAATCATATCCTATAAGAGAAAGGGATGTCTCCATTGTGGCTTGTCTGACCTGTTTTTTCTCCCTGGCTTTTGTCAGTGGTTAAAACTTCCCAAAATAAAAATAAAAATTGTCCCATTTTACTCTGGCCCCTTTCCCCTTCCTTTGTCACTATGTTTACTGGGGATCATTCTTTTTCTTTTTTTTTTCTTCTTTTCTTCCAAAGTAATTTATCTGTAAAATGAGACCATTATTTTTCATTTATTGAAAATATGATATTGGGTCAGCTGAGATATAGGCTTTCTTTTGTGGCAGTGGGGATTACTTTAAATTCAGGATAATCTTCCTTTGGAATAAATATATTTATTTTTCAAATGTATTTAAAATAACTTAAAATTATTACAATTCATCTGTAATTCTAGGTCTGCCTTGTAGAGTTTAGCATAGTTACAACACACACAGCACAGCATAGCATATACGACATACCATATGCCATTATAAAAAACTACATATTTTGAAAACAAAGGGCTTCCTTTTTCAGTCAGACTTGAATGCATCCAATAACAATTGATAAATTATCAAAAGATGAGCTGTCAGTTATATTTTACTCACTAAAAGTAAAATATAATAACCTAGGAATCTGAAGGAAAGCATACACCTTTTTCTGATGGATGTGATTGGTTCATGGCAGCCTTATTTGTTGGAAGACTTCTTTGAAAAGAACCAATCTGGGGTAGTGGTAAAGTATTATACTGACACTGGGCAATCTCAGAGTCAAGTTAGCCTAATCCAAACAATTCAAATACATTCAATTTATTCTTGGTTACCACTGAGAAAATCTAGTAGTTATACATTTCTTTCTGATGTTCAACCTGAACAGGTTCTGTCCACCCATCCTACCATTCCTCCAGGAAAAGCTCTAAAATTGAGGGAGGGAGGGAGAGAAAGAGAGAGAGAGAGAGAGAGAGAGAGTTTTCTGTACTATTCAGAGTTCATATGTTACATTTCAATATAAATTGAATAAGCACACACACAGACACACACACAGGATTGTGGGAATGCAGGAAATTAGGTTAGAAGTAATCACTAGAGAATTGGCATACATTGTCATCTATTTTCTTCAACATTTCTTTTTCTTTAACTTGGGAAGTGGCTGATGGTCGGAACTGGTAATGGGTTCTTAGATGTTAATGAAGTGAGGCAATCAAGACCCTTGAGGGATATTCCCATTAAGAAAGCAGATAGACTCTGGAATAGGATTCCCACCTGTTTGGGTGGATCATGCTCTCCTGCTCCTAAAGAATCTGGCTTGCAGTCTAGGAGATCCATTTTTAGCATTTGGAGACTTAAAAGGGCAGTTGTAGCCAGGAGCCCCTTTGTCCAATCTAAGCTGATATACCAACTGCATCTCTTCTATTCCTGGTGAGATCAGATTTGGCCTGGGCAACACAGGTCTTAAAGGGAGCCAGTTTTGGGTTGTGGTTAAAGGCACCCAGGGCTAGAAAATGGGCAGACTGTGGAATTTTGGTTCTGATTTAAGTAAATGGGGGGCCAATCGCTGTCTCTCAGCCTCAGGAAGAAGGTAGCGACAAACAACTCCTGAAAATGTTGCCAAGAAGACTGTAGGGTCTTGTCAAAGCAGTCATCAGGAGTTAAAACAGGCTCCAAGCATATACACCAATGCATGCTTTAGAGCCTATCCCCACAACTGTCCCAAAGGTGCTTTTTCAGGAGGCGTGCTGATAGCCAAAATGCAATGCACATTCGCAACCCCTGCACATTCTCTTTGGGAAGACAGACCTACCACAACACAGGTTAATGCAAAATGTTTCTTGAAGATGTTATCATGTATGGGCCTGCTCTTATTTTACAATATTTACTAGGTTTAGTTTAGTTTACTTTATTGTCACTTCACCTCGTACAACGAAATTAAATGCCATCTTCAGTGTACATTATAATTATAAAAATAAAACACAAACATGCATCCTTCACATTCTATATAATCGAATTGAAACTCCCCCAATATTACCTTAATATTGCACTATACAGTAGAATTCAATAGAGTTTTACCGTCTGCCAGATGGTAATAGTTAGTTCACTTGTTGCCCTTTCATTTTTATTTGCTTTTCTAATGCCAGGAATCAAGAGACAATGGATTCTGTCTGTTACTTCACCTGGTGCTCTCAGGTATTTTTTCATTTCAAGGAACAATTGTCCCTTGAATATGAAAAATACAAAAAATAAGTGGCCCCAGAACTGGCATCACAGAGAAGGCCTTTGCAAGAGACACCAGACGGGCTAGTGAAACAGTGACCAGCAGTTTGACATCTTAGAAAAGGTGTGGAGTAGAAATGAAAAAGCAGCACGAAAATTATGAGTCAACAAAAGCCAAACTAATTGGTAGAGAGTAAAATAGAACTGGGCACAGAGCCATCTTTACCACGATCAAATATTGACAATGTCATAAAAAGACCGATAAAGTCTACAGAAAGTCTCAATAATACGATGTGGCTGTGTGGGGCTGTCTCTAAATGCAAACGGGGTGGGGGTGGGGGGTGGGTGTTCTGGGAAGGCGAAAGAGATTTGTGAAAGACTGCTGGGAAACTGAACCAATCCAAGCCACAACCTCTCCACTCGAACCAAGGCGGTTGTTTTAACTTAAGCGTGGCCGCGTTGGTGCTCCGAATGATGGATTTGCATGGCGATCTCTCGTGTGTGCGTGCAAGGATAGCCTTGCAGTTCAGCAAACATCCGCGTCAAGGAAGCAAATCTTTCTGAAGCAGCAAAGCTTACGCACGAAAACTGGAAAGGGAAAGAAAGAAAAACGTTTGCTCCAGCGAACGGGGCTATATAGCCCAGCATGTTTATTAGAGAGTATTGGCTAAGAATGAAGAGCTTGAGTTAATAAAGCCTCCGTGACTTGAAAGGAAAGTAGGCCATGAGGAGTTGGCAAAAGAGGTGTTTATCGTTGTTTGAGTGAAAGTAACATGCAAGTAACAGGATTCAAGAAGTCCCTTTCAAGAAGACCCTTACCGTGGTGTAAAGTTTAGTAGGGATCATTGGGTATGTCTAGTTTTAATGAAAAGAAGGAGTAGGGGTGACATGATAGCAGTGTTCCAATATCTCAGGGGCTGCCACAACGAAGGAGTCAAGTTATTCTCCAAAGTACCTAAAGGTAGGACAAGAAGCAATGGGTGGAAACCAATCAAGGAGAGAAGCAGCCTAGAACTAAGGAGAATTTTCTAGAGGAGTTAGAACAATCAATCAACAGAACTGCTTGCCTCCAGAAGTTGTGAATACTCCAACTTGGGAAATATTAATGAATGAATGAATGAATGAATGAATGAATGAATGAATGAATGAATGAATGAATGAATGCTTTATTGGTCAAGTGTAATTAGACAGACACACAAGGAATTTGTCTTGGTGCATATGCTTTCAGTATAAAAAAAAAGATACATTCATCAAGAATCATCACAGGTACAACACTTGATAGTCATAAGGAACAATAAGCAATCAAGTCATACTAGGAAACGGTATAAATTGTAAGGGTACAAGCAACAAAGTTACAGTCATATACAGTCACAAGTGGGAGGGGATGGGTGATAGGAATGATAGGATTAACAGTAATAGTGATGCAGACTTAGTAAATAGTTGGACAGTGTTGAGGGAATTATTTGTTTAGCAGAGTGATGGTGTTTGGGGGAAAAACTGTCCTTGTGTCTAGTTTATTTATTTATTTATTTATTTTATTTGGTTTGTCTATTGCTTACAAGATAATAGGTATAAACTCAAATGGTTTTTGCCATCGGTCCTGACGAATAGCTTCCTTGATGCGGTTGTTTGCTGAACTGCAAGGCTTATACCTATAGG